AGTGTGAGAGCACGTCTGACACACACAAAGTGCGCTCACGTCTCACACACACACACACACACAGATCAGTGTGAGCTCATGTCTGACACACACACACACACACACACACACAGATCAGTGTGAGCTCATGTCTGACACACACGTGTGATCTGCCTGAAACACACCTTCTGCAGCTCCTCCACCGTCCGTGGCAGCGCGATCAGATCAGAAGCAGATTTGATGTTGGCCTTCAGATGATTGACAGCAGAATCCAGAGCACTGAGCTGAAGAGACAGCAGCTCAACATTAACTTCAATCACACTGACATCTTCAGATGAGATCACACAACGATTCTTCACGTGTTTCAAAACCAAACTACAGTGAGAGGAAAACACTGAGAGAAGTGTGTAATTCATCTTCTGACGCACCTTCTGATTGATCTCGCTCAGATTGGACCAGAGTTTGGCCAGGCCTTTGTCTCCGCTCTCCAGCTCGTCTAGTTTCATCTGTTTGGCCTTCAGGTCCTCACTGAGCTTCAGGATCTCGTGAGATGAGAGCTTCTGACTGCTCTCCACTGCCAAACACCAACCAAACCATCATGAGCATGCTTTCTGGTCTAACCAGTGGGTTAATGCTCTCTCAACATGAAATGCTGATCGCATCTGTGATGTAACATTTCCCATAATTCAGGCTGGTGAAAGTGTCTCTATATGAGGGTGGCTGATGACTAAGAGTGAATGACGGAAGAAGTGGAGATTATTATTATGAAGACTAATGTGTATTTCTTTGTAATAATGTGGCTGACGAATCGTTCACCATTACAGCAGGATCATTAGTTGAGTAAATCAGCTTAATTTCATGTTGTCTTTCAGCAGCTGTAGTGTGCTCAGACGTACTAGTGTGGATCTTCTCATTCATGGAGTCCAGGTCCTCTTTGAGGGCGATCTGCATCCAGATGAGTCCAGCGCAGGCCATGACACATGCCGCCAGAACCACGAACACACACAGCGGGTAACAGAGCGAGCAGCACCGCAGCGAGGTCCTGTCCAAACACACAACACACTGAAGCACAGACCCAGCAGTCGCCGACGGATCACATCTTTAATATTCACTGATATTCATCCGTCACAATGCTGTAACTGAAGCCAGCATTACTCTTGTATCTCGTTCTCTCAGCTGCATCACATGACTGTCATGTTTGAAATCGTTCGTTCCTATTGGCTAGAAGCCGACTGCAAGGATCTGATTTTCTTTGCAGATGTTTTGAGTTCATAAGGTATTTCAAATCAAATCAAATCAATATTTTGTGTCCAGTTTTGATGTATGTGGCAAGTAGGCGTGTAATGAACACTTTAGGTCAGTCCTGCTTTAACTCCTGTTAACTTCCAGCCGGATGTACATTATTATTGCTTATTTCAGGGCTCAGAGTCGTTTCTGTGCCAGATTTCCCTCTATTGTGTTACAGACCCTGTACAGCTATATCTGAGACAATGACAGCGGAAATACTTTCTTCCTAAAACAAGAAATCCAGCGGAAGAAACTGAGCTTCGTCCTCTCACTCGCAGACTGATCAAAACAGACCGCAGCTCATTCCTCACACTTTAACAGTATTTATAGCTCTGAAATAGTAAAAGAGGCGGTGAGGAACCGTGAACTCGGTGCAGATCCGTGTGGAGGTGTGACAGACCTCATCTAATGAACATACATCTGTGCTGTCGCTCTGCTTTAGTGCACGAGTTACCAACCTGCCTCGCCTAGTGTTTAATTCATCCTTCCCTGATCAATCTGTTCCATAAGACACAATAATAACTCAACTGCTGAGGAGTTTCTTCTGATGGTCTGTATGTTTGCTAACACTTCAGATGAGTCACTAGTCGCTTATTAACATGCATATCATTATGTTTATTAGTGCTTATAAAGCACATATTAATGTGTAACTAGGAGTTTATTGAAGGAAAACTCGTGGTTAATAGTGTTCTCTCATCTAAAGCGTGACGGTGTGTTTTCTTCAGAAACATTCACAGCACAGCAGAGACTGTACTGAGATCCACAACTATTACACAAGCTGCAAACCTTCACTGCTGCTGAAGAAAGAAAGAAAGAAAGATGACATGAAGAACCAGGAGATATATGTCAGTATCTGAGGTGTGAGAGAGCCTCATCATGAAGCTCATTTCTAAGCACCTGCAGATTATCCTCTCTATAAAGCAGGTCAGCTAGCAGGCGTAACTAGCTGGTTGACACCTCAGCTGAACAGCTCTCACTCACTTCCCGAGCAGGCCGCTGCGGCCGCCGAACTGCTGCTCCTCGGAGCCGGACTCGGACTCGGACTCGGGCTCGGACTCCTCGGACTCGGGCGGCTCGGTCCGCAGCAGGCGGTGTCCGCAGCTCTGCTTGCTCTTCCTCTGGCTGCTGTCGCTCAGGCCGATGAGGGCGTTCAGCTCCTTCCTCTTCTTCATCTTCTTCTGCGGGCTCATCGCGCTGTTTGCCGTCAGTGTGAAGCGGCGATCTGAGGGACTCCACAGCTCCACGTCAAACACGGCACCCATGACATTAAACTTTTAGTTTAGATTTACTTCCTCTTCCTGTCGCGTCTGAATCTGTCGTCATGGCGCAAATATTTACATTACACATATATTATCGGTAAAGAATCAGATCTGTCTTCTGAATGAACATCCGGTCCTGACAGGAAGAGCTCCTGATTGGACGAACACAGGAGAGCATAGAAATTTATAGGTAGATGCCGCATTCGGCAGCGCCATCTTGCAACGGTCAACGTGACGTCCTTCACTATAATAATAAATGAATATTCGAACCTACCTCAATCCTGCACAGCCGCTGGCTGTAAAAACCGCCGGGAAACGGGATAACCTTTCCCATGTGAGAATGCGAGAGAGGGGCGGAACCATTGATATGTAAGGATTGTGGCATCTTTGAATATTCATTGATTATTATTATTATTATTATTATTATTATCGAATGAGGCATCTACGTATAGACCCTATGCAGGTGGGCGTGTCGTTGTGCGGCTGACGTCATCGGGAAGTGACGCGCTCTATGCGCCTTTCTAGAGCCATTGATCACAGTGTTGTTCCTAATTACATTCGAGTAAATTACACCACTGACTGTATTTACTCATCTAAACATAGATTTCAGATCATTTGGCAGAAAGCAGTTGTAACCCTCTGACAGTATTTCTGGTGTTTAGAGGAGAGTCTGATGTGAATCAGGAGAGTGATGCTCAACATCTCTGACTTCTGTGCTTTTATATGTTTTTGTCTCTGAGGTGGGCTGATCTATTTGGTTAAATATAACTAACTAATTCAGACGAGATCCAGCTGTAACCGCTCAATAACTCTGCTGCTGTAAACGAGAACTACACGACTAACACAGGAGAGACAGCCTCTCATTTTCATAGCTACATCTCTTTAATTCATTGGCTTTATGCCAGTCATTTGACGCGAACATCACGAAGGAGGTCTTTAATAAAGCCTGTGACAGTCTCGCGGCTGATCTTCGCCTGGGAACACAAGCTGAAGATCTGTCACAGCGAGACCTCGACCCTCAAGTCGATCTGAAAAGTCTAACCCTTCAGTAAAACAGACGAGAGCGGGTCATCCTAAAACATGGTCACTTCTCTAAGAAGCCATCAGTAAAGCCAGCAGATGTCTGCTGCAGCTGCTTGTCACACTGTAGGAATCCCCAGCATGAGCTCACAATCACATCTGCTGCAGTACTTGGTTTTTAATGTACTGAAGTATTAAAAGTACTGATCGGTGACTGTTTTTGTCAATTTTAACTTAATAATAATCCTTAATAATAATATAAAGGATTATATAATCCTACTGCTCAAAATACCTACATATATAAAATACACGCGTGTGTGTGTAGAGCATTTATTTTTATAGTATAAGGGACAAAATGATGAATGTAGTGAAATAAGTCAGTTTCTCAAAATAAAAATACTCCGATAAAGTACAGATACTTGGAAAATTTACTGAAGTACAATAAGTAAAAAAAAAATACTTTGTTACTGTCCTCCACTGCCATTGTTTCCAGTAGAGGAACATTCGCCACAGAGCCAGCAATACTCGCTGTGAACAACCTCAGGTTTACTAGAGCGCTAGACTAGGAAACAAGAAGAGAACACTGTGTGAGTGCATTAGTTTAGGCTTGGAGTGCTTAAAGACAGGCTTTATCCTCTGATCTGATGAGGTTTGCAGCTCATTCTCCAGAGCAGCAGCTTAAAGAGGATCTGTGACTCAGACGCTTTGCTCAGAACTTTCTTACACTGTATGATTATTCAGGCTTCTTACAGCCGTATTAGCCTGAACCTTTGCTTTAAAGCAACAATATATTTATGTTTTGTGATATACAATTATTCTATTGCATGTAATGTATTGTTTACTGTGATATGAATGTGATTTTATGTGTATGATAATTACAGATTCAGTCTGTTCCACTGCAAGGAAAGTCATACGGGTTTGTAACAACTTGAGGGTCAGAATACACTATAAATAAAACAAAATCAATGCAACACTTTGATTATTTATGTTTTATTTATGATTGTCTGAAAGTTTGTGGCACATAATTAGAAAAAAACAATCCCAACTGCATAAGCCTTAGTGCTGAACAGAAGGTTTGAGGGGTCTGTGCAGGTTTAGCGCCCAGTGTCTTCACATCTCCAGTGTAACTGAGCTCAGTCGCTTCACTTCAGTTCAGTTCAGTTCAGTCCTCACAGCGTCTCAGAGGCGGTTGCGCGCGGGTCCTAACCCCGGCGGAGGGCCGCTGCACTGCGGAGGCTGCTGGTGATGTTGTGAGCGTCTGGAGCCGCGCTGATGCTGGGATCTGCTCTGCGTCCAGCGTTTCGGAGCCGGTAACGCCTCACACAGATGAGAACACGTGGTGATTCCGCAGAACAGAGCCTCATCGGCCTGCGAGGAGCCCTCAGAGCTGCCGTCGGACATCACGTCTCTGCCGTCTGGACGAGGGCCCGTCTCCAAACCCAGAGGACCAATGGTGGTCTGGGGAATCCCGTCTGCGAGCGGTGGAGCGGCCAGCGTCTCTGGACCTTTGCTGAGCTTCACTTTGTGTTTCTTCTGTAAGAAATAGAAGCTGACTGTAAAGATTTTGCAGTTTTCCGGGTTTATTACACCTAAAAACCAAAGTCTACAACAATGAATGCATCAACAATGAAACACCCGTCGTACTTTTCTACTAACTTGACAATCTTCCCACTGCTTAAAGCTGTTGGTTTCTCCTGAACCGCCTGAAATTAAGAGCAACAATAGCCAGAGTTTTACATCCACAGCAGGAAAAACATGTTTGTCTCTGTAAACTTCACTGCCAACAGTGTGTCTGATCTCTAAACAGCACAGTATCTCAACACACACGATCTGATGAGGTTTGATCACAGCACTATCTGAATGCATCATGAACTCACCATCAGGCGTCTGGAGGGACGAGAGTGACGGCGGATCAGAGGCTCTGCATCTCAGCAGCACGGGTTCATCATTAGACAGCTCTCTGGAAACACAACATCACATGCTCATTCAGACACAGATCACATCAGTCCTGCAGCAGGAGCTCGTCACTCACACACACAGCTGCTGGACTTTAAACCCCTTACGGAAGCGCTCGTCTCCTCACCTCTCTGGGCAGCAGGATCTCTGGGAATCGACGGCAGGACTCTCTGATATCTGACGGTAGTTCACACAGATCAGCAGCCATAGAAGAACACAGAGAAGCAGACACAGCAGGATGTAGCTCTGCCTGTCAGACACCTGCAGAACACAGCAGCAGCATCATCACCATCATCATCACCATCCTCATCATCATCACCATCCTCATCATCATCGC